CACGGCAACTGCATCTGCAGCTCGCGGCTCGCGGATGAAGAAGAGGAGGACCAGCGCATGGAAGCAAAATGCCACGCTGCTCGCCGTCTCTCTGGCGGCCCTACGACCGGCTGCCGCGGCGGCGCACGTGTTTCCCTACGTGCCGACGCAGATTCTCCTGCCGACGGCGTGCGTGAGCGAAGCGACCTGCAGCGGCGCCGACCTGGCCTACGTCTTTTCCCAGGGCGACGACGGGCGCGTGCGGTTTTCCGCCCTGAACTACTCGGCGGACATGGCGGCCGGCGCTCAACCCGCGCCGCTGACGACAGACCTGCCCTTCCTCAAGGACCAGCCGGCGACGACGGCCTTTGGGGCCGCGAGAACGAGCAACGGGTCGGTGGTTGTGTATTCGGGGGCGTGCGACGGAGCCGCGGGCTCGCTTTGGAGCTTCTCGCGCGAGGCGACTGGCGACGGGGGCGGCGCATGGTCGAAGCAAACGACAACCCCGGGCCGCTCTCAGCAAGGATCCTCGCGAGGCCCGTATTTCCTCGGAGGCACCTTGGCCTTTTCGTCGAAGCTCTCGCCCACCATGGACCAGCCGACGGTCTACACGTACGGGGGCATGTGTCGCGCCCCCGACGGAAGCGCCGAGACGTGGCAGTCGGATGCCAACTACACAAAGGCGATGGTGAGCCTGGCACCGAGTACGCAGGCTGCGGACACGGCCTACTCCCTCAGCGTGGCGTCTACGGCTGGTCCTCGAACGCCCATTGCTGGGTTTACCCTGACGCAGTTGCCGGCTTCTGTGACGAACATCTCGGGGGCGGTTTCGCAGCAGGCCGGCTTTGTGCTGTTGGGCGGCCACTCGCAAAAGGCATTTATAAATATGAGCACCGCCGCGGTGTGGAATCTCCCCGAGGAGTCGTGGTCGTATATCAATGTCGGGGGGCCGGATGCTTCGGCGGGAGGCGAAAACGTTGAAAGTCGATCTGGACACACGGCCGTCTTGACAGAGGATGGGACGTCGATTGTCATCTTGGGAGGATGGGTTGGCGACGTGAGCAACGCTGCTGAGCCTCAACTTGTTGTCCTGCAGCTCGGCCAGACGTATAGCTCCTGGAAGTGGAAAGTTCCACGGGAACAGCCCGGCGGAAAGGGGGTGTATGGGCATGGAGCAGCCATGCTGCCCGGCAATGTGATGATGGTGTACGGCGGATGGGAGACGTCTGCTTCTGGCGGGAGCTCCAAGCGTCAAGCTGCGTCTGGTGGTGCGCTGCGCTTCTTCAATGTCACGTCCATGTCGTGGTCCGACTCCTATTCCAACCCTAGGCCGGGCAAAATACCCAAGGGGACAGGATCACACGATGCTCCCGGGGCTGGAAACGACGCCGTACAATCAAGGAAGCTGGGTCTTGGCTTGGGACTTGGCTTGGGTCTGGCGCTGCTTTTGGCCCTTCTTGTTCTGGCCTTTTGCATGTGGAGGAGGCGGTTGAATAAGAGGCGAGACTCGCGGAGGGACGAAGCCGCCCAGGTCATGGCGCAAGATGCGAGGTACTTTTCCCACGATGCGGATGAGATGATGGAACGTGAGGATGCGTTTTCATGGCATGTGGCTGGTCACAGCGGCTACCAAGGGGCATCGGAGAAATCAATGGGCTATGAATCTCTTCGAGGGGCGAGGGCGACTCTCGACGATGGGCATGGCCGTGCCATTACGAGAAAGCCAGTCATGAGCCGGAGCATGAGAGGAGGCTATGTGCCCGCAGAGACGCGCTTCAACGCGTTGGCCTCACCACCGGGCACGATTCATCCCATCCTGGAGGATGAGGAGGACGAGTATCACAAGGCGCCGCATCATGCCACGGAGCCGCTTACACCAACTTCCGAGGAGCACTCGGATCCGTTTGTGACTCCCACCGCTACCGCTACCGCGCCGTCCGTCCTATCTCCGCCTAGCAATCGATCCTCGGTGACGGCTAGTCCCGAAGAGCGCCGCCGGTACGATGCCGATGTCCAAGACTGGGTGTGTGATGTAGATGCCGCCGACTCGCTGCTGGAGAGATACAACTCTTCCCGGCAGAGTCGCAGATCACCTACGCGAAAGAACTCTACGCGCTCGGCGGCTCTGCGGGATGACGAATCTAGAAGCGGCTCCAACTTGTCAGAGTCGAATCGCAGCGCGGCGGACAGTCTGCGCCGCTCGCAGTCTAATCGCAAATCAGGAAGTTTCCTGGGCGGCATGCTGCTTGGCGGCGATCATCCCAAGCCCAGCAGTTCCTCCTCGAGCAGCTACAACACGGCAAAATCTGGCTTCGGAGCACTGCAGGCCGAAGGGCCGGCCTTGCTGGGACGCACGACACCATCCACCGCCGCGAACGCCCATGACGACGAGGACTTGACCACTCCGTCGTCACCGTCCAAATCAAAACCCCGGCGAAGCTGGCTTGGGTCCCTCGGCCGTGTGTTTTCCCAATCAGGCGGTTCGTCGCCAAGGGCGTCGTCGGAAAACTCGGCCATGAGACCGGAAATGGAGCAGTACGGCGGCGATTACGAGCCTCGCGCCGGTCTTCCCGGCGAGCTTCTCAGGAGGAAGCAAGGCCGGTCGGACTGGGAGGACGGACCCGAAGCCGGCTCCGTTGGCGGAGGAAGCGAGCAGCGCCCCGAAAACGACTGGGACATTGAACGGGCCGTGGAGCAGCGCCTGGTACAAGTCATGTTTACCGTGCCGAAAGAGCGGCTGCGCGTGGTTAACGGCGACGCGGAATCGCAAACGGACATGGAGGCAGACGACACACGGCAGAAGGGGGCTCGGTTCAAGGAGACGGACGAGCTGCAGGAGCCCCAGGTTGCCGAGCTGGTTGATCCGGACAAGAACTCGTCCCTGTCGACGGTGGAGCGGGATGAGAGGGGGAGAGATGACCGGCCGTACTCTGAGGTTGAGGATCCGGACTTGCTGCATGTGGACTTTGCTGAGCCGAGACTGAGCCACTCGACGGACGGCGACTCGGAGAGGAGGTCGTCTGGCGCGGTTTTTACGGCCGAGGCGATTCGGTTCGAGAGGCCGAGGACCAAGGTGCTGCAGATGGTTGATACTATTGAGAGTCGGAGCCAGTCGAGTAGTCCGACGAGAGGGCAGGGACATGGGGAGGAGTAGGAACTGTTGAGCTTGGGATTGCGTGGTGCGGGATACAATTTTGGGATCTGGAATGGAGTTTCGATCTTGGGCAGTGAATTTTTTTTTTTAGAACGAGGGGAAAGGGGGGATGTTTCCTGTACTTATTTATTTATTATCACGTAGTTGTATATGATTATGCTTTCGGGCTCCGGTGTGTGAATCTCGACTGGTGAGCGGGAGAAGACTGGGTGGGTCTGGTGTGTTTTATATTCCTTTTTTTGTGAAATAACGACGAGTTTGTCGAGGCGAGTGACTTGATACGGAGTGTGGGAATGGCTCAGAAGTATACCGAAATGTAAGAATGGCGGCGTTGCAGTTTGACATTTACGAGATTGTGCGGCGGCCGTCTGACTCATTGCCGAGCTGGGATATCAGACGGCGCCTGCTTGGAATGCCTGCACGCCTCATCACGATGGCGACGGGTGACGGATATTCGTATACATTTGCGAAGAATTCAGCTGTATGCTTGCTCAGCATGCCTTTGCTAGGGGCGGATAGTTGGGAAGAGCGTGGGAATGAGGACCCAGGAGGACCGGGAAGAATATGCCAGCACGACTGCTAATTGTTGTGTTCTCGGGGATTCGATTGATGGCCTGATGTATCTTTTTCATCAAGGGGCTGGGATACGTCGAGATGCAAGGCAGCTTAGTCTTGGCAGCCAACGGCAAACAAATACTGTAGCCGGCACTTGAGATTATTTGCAAACCAGTTCGTTTATTACAAACATTGAAGACGAGGACCATTGACGCACCGCCCAGACGCACGTCGCTACTCCCCTGCCTTCATCATGGCGGCTGCTCTCTCGGTCACGGGCGACGCATCCAGTGGGCCCTCAACTGCACCGGATAGACCAAGAACGGCTTGGTTGTAAAGTTCTAACGATTTAGCTGTGTTGTACTACAGTAGCAGATGAGCCAAAGAGGATGTTGAGAGGAAGCGTCAATGTTCTATTGGAGGAGTCTCCACCGGGCGTAATAGATCAATTGATACTTCCAAAAAGCTGGCTCTGGCTGACCTTCTGGATTGCTGGGTGGAGCAGTCCATGGTGGACAGACCAGCCAGGCATCAATTGATGTCTATTGAACCATTTGCGCAACTGAAGCATTCAATGTTCAGTCAAGTAGATTTAATTGAGCGGTGCACACCCTTGGAACAGGGCAGGTGGCCCATTCTGATTCAGGGCGCTGGACTAGAGATGCTGCTGACAATACATTCCAACTAATGCAACTTGACTTAATTCATAACCTACAAAAATTATATCTACTCTAACATGCTTGATTTATGGTATAATACTACGATGGCCATGATAGAATCGCAGCTCCCAAACGATACACACATAGGCCAATGTTTTGTCTGCTCAGAATTGTTCTTAATCACAACTCATCAAACTTGAATCGCATCAAGATTTTAAGTGCTCGGCACCACATACCGGCAAAAGGGGAATTAAGATAAACAGATCGGTCGTTATTTCGCTCGCGGTATTAAGTATAGATTCCCTCGGGAAGGCAGCCTGCGACATGAAACAGGTAAACTTGCCCTCGTGAAAGGTGTATTGGTGGCGACAGGGCCCAATGGCACTGGATCAAAAGATTATAAAAGACAGACTTCTCAGTTTGTTAGATACGACCCCTTTTTAGAGCTTTTGGGGTATTGGCCATCAACAATGCAAGAACACGCAATGACACGAAGAATCCCTTGCAGGTCGAGACAAAACGAGTGTATTGTAGTTGGTTACTATTTGAAAAGAATAATCAAGAGCTCTATCCACCATCTCGATGCCACGCATCTCAGACTAGGAACATATGCCGAGCCACCTGTTAATGACTGTTCATGCCTGTAGACTAGACTAACGCTTGAAAGCTGACGAGGTGCGCTCGTCTTTCTCGGCCTTAGTCTTCTTAACTTCCTCGGGTTTAGGCTTCTTATCTTCCTCAAGCTTAGCCATAGTAACTTCCTTAAGTTCAGTTATAGCATCCTCCTTAGGTTCAATCGCAGTGCCTTTCCCGGAGGTGGACTCGTCTTCCTTAGGTTTAGTCTTAGTGTCTTGCTCAGGTTTAGTCGTAGTACCTTCCGTGGGCATAGTCGCAGTGTCTTGCTCAGTCGCAGTGTCTTGCTCAATCGCAGTGTCTTGCTTAGTCGCAGTGTCTTGCTTAGGTTTAGTCTTCTTATCTCCCTCCTCGGTGCACTCGTCTTCCTCGGCCTTAGGCTTCTTAACTTCCTCGAGTTTAGTCTTCTTATCTCCCTCCTCGGAGCACTCGTCTTCCTCGGCCTCAGTCTTCTTAACTTCCTCGGGTGTAGGCTTCTTATCTGCCTCCTCGGTGCACTCGTCTGCCTCGGGCTCAGTCTTCGTATTTCCCTCCTCGGTGCACTCGTCTTCCTCGGGTTTAGGCGCAGTGTCTACCCCAGTCGCAGTGTCTACCCACTGAGAGGACGACTGCTCGTCCGTCACAGCGACACGTCGTTCTAGCCTCTGAGAAGGCGGTAACGCGAGGGCCGATCCGGCGAGAAAAAAGAGGGCAACAGATACGGCTTTCATTGTAAAGTATTCTGTTTTCAAATTGGAAAAAAGATATACAAAAAAGTGTATAAAGCCGTGGTTAGTTAGCCGTAAAAGAGTGTCTATAAGTGAGAATAATAGTAAGTAGTAGCGATTTAGAGCAGACTAGATTGAGGCTGTTGTACTCTTATATAGTTGCGTTTAGCTTGTAAAATTACGTCCCCCCTTTGAGTGAGCATTCAAGTTCTAGATGATGGGTCGAGCGTGATTCGATCCCCGCCGGTATTGTCTTTGCATAATACCTTAGTCATGTCATCGATAACTGCCGAGTAACTAGTAGCACCGAGGAAATTACAGGACTTTCCGAAAACTTGGAAGAATTTTAATGCGTACCCAGGGCTTTGATATGCATTAAAAGTAATAGGCCCAAATAGGATAGCTATATAGTGAGCTTACGTACAAGGCCACGCAGTACGTTTCTGAGGTGTGGTGAAAGTGCAGAGAGAGGCTGTCCTCGTCTTTAAACCCTATTATGTCTATATTTATTGAACTAAGAGCGGGAATATAACATCTCCTCGTGACCGATAACTAGTAGTTACGCTGTAAAACTTACTAGTTCATGGCCAACACCCGCGCTTAGGAAATCCTTAACGCTAATAGCAATCTAACACATGGCAGATTATCATATTAGGTTCTCGGCTAAATCACGATAGCATAATTAGAGGATATATTTTCCTCTATATTTGAAACAGCTTTAATAGGTAAATGATTCAAGTTTTATGTGCATTAAACCCCGCTACTACTATATTTCATACACTCTAGTTCAATCTAGCATTAAACAGCATAAATAATAAACTTGCGACACAAGCCGGTGGGGGAGCAAGTCGAATAGGAGCTGTATACCTATCGCTGTGACCCACAGACATATCTGTACGTCACAGCTCCCATGAGACCTCCTCCTAGTGGGAGGCAGAAGCGTCTAGTTACTATGCTAAACCATGCGATGATCTACTGTCTGGTACTGTGCTAAAGTGGAGGTATATATACGTGCTGGGTATAGCTTCGAGTCTTGCTACCAATAGGAAGTAAAAGTCTTGTTACGAAAATTTACAGCTCAGGAGGTCTATTTGATTGTCGGCTGACTCCTCGTTCAACGACTGGGTCGTAGTGGGCACGCCATTCAATGCCTGACTGTGCTACTATAAAACTTGAAGTCTTTTGACAGCATAAAGCCTATATATCGCCGTCTTGATGACGCCTAGGCCACTTGAGCCCAACATCTTGTCGCAGCATAGGTGTGTAAGGCGGATAAAACCGAGGCCACGTAGACGAGTCCCGGGACCTGCGGGCCTGCGTAGCTAGGATGCCGGCGCAAGCATAAATCATCATGAAAAATCTCTATGCGCATTAAAAGCACTGGAGGGTTTCTCCCGGCAAGAAACTCGCGGTAATAATCAACTATCAGGTGATTTGCCGTCAAGTACGCTGCTCGTGGTTAACTAAGTCGATGGAGTTCAAGAAGGGGAGAAGTTGCTCACGCTATTAGTACCTATAACTCAATTCCTAGCTCTCGTATATTGTATATTCTTGTTTCCAAGGCTCTATTCTATTCATTGACAGCTACCAAGCTAAAGATTTCATAGAAGCTATACAGTCCAAGGTACTTTTTTAGTCATGTTTGTAGCGTGACTTCAATACTTGGTTTTCGACACAGCTTATCTAAATACCTGGTGAATCGTACTATTGGCTTGTCTACAAAGCGCCAAAAGATATCTGCAACCCAAATAACAATACCCATTATAAATACAATGTCAAGAACTAATATTGCTGCTCTCTTCCACTGGCTATTATCTGCCCCAAACCAAGAGTGCACCTTCGCCTTAATATCCGCTCCGATGGAGATCTGAACGGCATTATGCACGAGGTAGACTGAGTATGACACATCTCCCAGATACTGAGCGACTGGCGTCGTGAAGGCTTTTTGCAGGGTTGGGACCCGGAAGAGGGCCACAATCACTAGCACTGAGGAGACGCTGGTCCAGAATTTCAAGGGCAGGTGAAATCCCTCGGTATCTAGATACACTTTCGGGGTGTGTGGGTAGACCCAACGAAAGTCAAATGAGATTTCGACGCGGTGTATCGGATATCCAGCCAGGTAAAGGCCAACGAGGAATATAGTAATCCAGAATGCCAACTGGAGTCGTGATATCCATTGCATCCTCTCTCCTATGCTCTTGTTCCCTTTTTGGGCTCTTCTGCGTTCTTCGATAATTGCTTCAGTCTCGGCAATAAAAAGACCGGCCATAAACAAGAGAACAGCCCAATGGCCACTTGCATTCGAGTGAATTATTAGGACGCCAACGACAAATAGTCGCATCCACGTCCTAAGCCGTGAAACACCCATAATAACTAGAAAGAGCAACATGGAACAGGAGAACTCAATCGGGATAGTCCAGAGATGCAAAAGACTAACATTGTGTTCATCCCAACGCCAGCAGTACATGACTGCGCTAGTTTGGGCGTATACGTCGCTAATCATAGTCCATACCGGCGGTGGACTCGAGTATATGCATGGAACAAGAATCTTCTCAAAAATGATGCCAGCGATAGGAGGCAGAAAGAGGCGGAATCCGCGACGGAAGATTAAAGATACGAGAGACTCTGAGAGTCTCTCGTGCTCCCCGGACCGAATCAGGAGAACACTTCGGTACGACAAGACGAATCCAGAGATTAAAAAGAAGCAAGTAACCATGGGAACGCCGAGAAAGAGAACCCGTATAAAAGGAAGCTGCAATAGATTTGACCCCATTCCTTCTTGTTCGTTAACGCCCCAGGTTTCATTTACCCATTCATTAGATGGCTGTACGATTAAAAGATGGAAGACAGCCACAATAATCGAAGCGTATCCTCGTAATCCGTCAAGAAATGACGTTTTGTGCAGCTGTCGTGGCTTAGAGGCATAGTAGATGTTGCTGATAAAGCTTGGGGTGATAGCGACAACTAATAAACGAAGAAGAGCGAAGACGCTCAGAAAGGAGAAAGAATGTGCAATTTTGATACAGGATTTACGCCTTGTCTGGTGTTCGCCTAGTTCATAATCGTCGGAATTAGAGAGGAGGCTCTGAGAAAGCTCGTCGGATTGATCAAATCGGTCTAGGGGAGGGTTTAAAAAAGAGTGAGCCCTCGCTGCCCCGTTATTGAGTCGACTCAAGAGGTACTCAGTCATGGCTAAGGTTGATGTGAGATTCTAATCACATTGCCAGACAATTGAGGGTCACAAAATGTTGGGTATAATAGCGCCAAAGGCGCCGAGTATATTAGATAAGAATTATCTAAAGAATCAATAACAGATGGAAATAAACACGCTATTTATCTTATACGTAGCTTTACTAAAGCGGTGAAGCTGTAACAAGAAACTATATCTGCTACAATCTTGAGACTAGCAGTCCTTGCTTTTTGCAATTCCGTTATAGGTGTCAGCAACGACTTGCCCCATATTGAGGTCCTGATATCTGACACACATGCATGGACTGCAAGACCGCCTTGATGAGGAAGGGGCCCAGTGAGAAGACCTAGACGCGGCAAAAAAGAAATAACGTGACTGAAGCCCAGCATGACTCTTCACTGGCCATTTAAGTTTTGGGCGTCATGTTCCAGTTGCCACGTAGCAACAATATCAGTTCAATTGGACCAGATGCCCTGTAAGACCCTGATAAAACTAGACGCTCCTAGTCTGTTCATGCTTCAGGCTCGCTACTATTCCGCATGACTCGAAGTACTTGACTTATATGACTAACAGGGGAGCGCCTTTTGAAACATAAAACAAAATGAAACGGAATTCTGTCCCAGCGTCCCCAGGCCCGCGCAAGAGTCAGGCCCCCATACCAAAGTGCGAGGCCCCTCTACCAATTCCGCCGGGTTATCAGGTCGACATGGGCGCGAATTAGTTGACACATCCTTCCCTTCCCTATACCGCTGCAAGTTGCATTATTTTGGCAGGCTTGTTCATGCACGCCGACTAGTGCGTTCAATGCTGGCCGTTTCGGATGAGAAAACAATGCAGAGTATATATACTTGGTTTCGTGTCGGCCATTGACGTGTTTAATTAAATGCATACCCTCCGTCGCCCCTAGGTCCACCCTTCTCTGCAAGTCCGACCTTGCCTCCATCTAATTTTAAGCGCATTAAGATGGTTGCAAGCTGTTAAACCTTGGACGAATCTCAACGATTTCGCGAGATTTTCTGGGCTGACGTGACTATCCTAGAAATGCGGCTTTACTACACTAAAAACGGATATACAAGGTACTTGGTATTTCCTTGGGGTACAGGGGCAGCTTACTCAGGAACTTAAAGCTGACAGCTATTCAATTTAGTTTGGGGCATGTGCTACTACAAACTATAGTTGCCTGCGCCGGAGTATCGTTTCTTGTTGTAGCCTCACCGACGACTTCTTCATGCTAATAAGAGCGGTTTGGAAACCAGTGAGCTTAGCAGCAGAAAGCAGCTTTGTTCTCTCCAGTCTGTGACAAGGGCTAGAGGCTTGGAGCAATTTACTCAATTCATCTAATAACAGTCTTTGGTATTCAAGGTCCTTGGTTTGCCTCAAGGCCTCGGTCGCCAAAGACGTCTTTAAATACAAGAAGTCGGTGAGGGCCTTCTACCCTAATCCCGTGACCGTAGCCCTTGTGTAACCTTTGACATTGGGCCATTTCCGTGTAACAACTTTTTAATTTCCTACATGTGGAGTGGAATTATGTATTATATAGGAAATAAATACGTCAGAATACTATTGCCCGGGAGAATACTCTTATACTATGCTTGCTTGGACGGAGCAACTTGTATCTTGGGGCAGCATTTGCCATCTCTAGCCGATACAATAGAAAAAGAGCTTTGGCTGTACCGAATCGCAATTGCCATACTGCGTATCACGCAAGGCGGCTATTAATAAACGGCAACTATCAAATAACACAACAAAAGAGATCTGACTCAATAAAATTTATCCAGCTAAGAATCTAATCCCCTGCCCTGCAGAGAGACGCCCTTCTCAACAGTGGAAACCAATGAGCTAGTGGTAGAAGTTTTCATTTCTCTCGCCGCAGTAAATGGCAGTGTGTTTGTTTTACTTGCGCGTGCAGACCCAGCCATCGTATATTGGTGAATTGCAATTGGTTTCGGGATTCCATTCCTGTAACTGGGCTACCGAGATGTCGAAATCTATAGCAATACGCTCACAGGTGCTGTGACCATATTTCGTAAAAGCCCACTCGATACATTCACCACCAAGACGGCCTGGCCAAGTTAGCATTTGCACGCAAATACCAATACCAATACATGATAACATACGCCTATCCGACCTGGACTCAGCCGCCGATGGCGATTCGATGCTGCCGTCAACATTGGCAGGGCTCCTAGCTGAAACACCCACGCATGTGTAATAATACAGTCGCAGGTTCGTGCACTCTTTGTCGAGGCCGTTCCAGTCGATTATCTGCTGCGTCGTGATGCCATAATTGGTGGTTCTCATGATACGATAGGCAATTATTGAGCAGTATTCTCCCGCTGTTACATAATAAAATCTGTTGCAATTATCCACCATGTGTGGCTCGATCCGTGTTGGCGTATAAATGTCTAGGCTAAGTCAGGAAACCCCGTCTCTTGATGTATAGACATGCACATTGACGTACCGCTAGATGCGATATCTTGCGTCAGCGTCTTTTGAATTTGGATTCTCGTCGGCTCGGGGCCGTTCTCGGCGTCGCAGATGGGAGACCCAAGAGCTAGCTTGATGCAGCCGAGGAAGAATAAAATGCTTTTAAGGGTTGACATGGTGATGTGCTGATAGTTTAACAAGAGTACTAGTAATGGAGATGTAAAGAAAGAAAATAGGTGTACGCTTGTTGGACGCCGTCTTATTCTAGAGCTTGTAATTAAAAATATATCTTGCTTCTCTCTAGGACAAAAAATAAAAGCTATTAATTATAATATAATATATACTTGTAATATGTTTCTATATATTTTACTTAATAAACTCTAAGTATAATAAGATAATTTATACTTTTTATAAAATTTACTTCCTTTATAAAATTTATTTCCTTTATTAAATTTACTTTCCTTATAAAATTTACTTCCTTTATAAAATTTATTTCCTTTATTAAATTTACTTTCCTTATAAAATTTACTTCCTTTATAAAATTTATTTCCTTTATTAAATTTACTTTCCTTATAAAATTTACTTCCTTTATAAAATTTACTTTTTATAAAAAATTTACTTTTTTTACATATCTTATCCCCTCCCCTGTCTTTTCCTCCGGCTAAGACGTTACTCGCTTAATACCAAGCATAGTATTTTAGCATTTACGGAGTAATATTAAGCACTTCTGGAATTGCGCTTCTCGGGCTATCTGTGCGGCAAGGTGTCGCTACCTGCGGCCAGCAGCACAATCCCGCATTCGTGTTTCCTTGTTACCACTACGAATAGATAGATAAATAGAATTTACTTCGTTTTGACCCTCTATTAATACTATTAGAGGCGACAAGTTAAGTTATTAGAGCTATACAATATTGCAGTCTATATATTAATTCTTGTTTACGCGGAGAGCACAGCTAATTATATTTACAAGACCGTATCTATACTTTTAATTAATATTTAAGTAGACTTCTTCTTACTACCTCTAGCTAGTTATTAATAGGAAAGATTTATTACTAAGGTATAAAGACTAACTTTTCCTCGAGGTATTAATAACAAAGTCCTAGAACTATACATCGTCAAAAAGTACCGCATTGCGCGCAGCCGTACTATTACTACACGTACCTTGTCGTTATACCAGCAGCATGTTCAGCGAGGCACGTTTCCGGCAGCTATCTGCCGCTCTCTGATGGTGCCGTTTCCGGAGGTTGCCGATAAGCTTCTTGCCTCTCCTCAATTTTATACCCCTCGCTAGGTTTATCTGCGCGCAGCTTCGGGTCCGCCTAGCTTTTCTATTTGGGAATTTTGCGGTCATAATCGCGCTAGTCTATTTTTACTCTTCTGCCTGACTCGTCGGTTACGATCCGCCAAAAGACGAGCGGGTTAACCTATACTATACTTAAAGTAGTACTAATTAATATAATTTATACCTATTATAAGTAACCTATTTCAATAATATTCATTCCAGTCACAGTCTGACGCAACAACAGAATAGCCAGAGCCTGCTTTATTGGCCAACTAGTGTATTTTCTCTGGTTTGCAGGCCAAGCGTCGACCTTGAGCAACTGAACATTTGAAAACTTGTCTACGCCAACTGCGGAAAGTTCAACTCCACCATCCATGAGTCACCACTCATCCACACGCGGGCAAGACGTTGGACACATACAAGGCAACCGTATAGCTACATGAGCGCGGAGTCCTCGCCAACGCCAGGAGGGCCGTAGAATAGCAGCCAACACACCATGCCGTCGTTTACACCCCTCGCCGCCGAAGCCGCTGGCAAGATCGCCTCGTACGCCATCCTCGACGACCCCAACCACTTGGCAGTCGAAATCGGCCAGGCAGAACACCGCATCGGGCTGGTGAATTCGTGGCAAATACAGCAGGGCAGCAGGGTTCTCGAAATCGGCTGCGGACAGGGCACCTGCACGGCGGTGCTCGCCGAGGCCGTCGGCCCCGAGGGCCACGTTGATGCCGTCGATCCCGGGCCTCCCGACTACGGCGCGCCCGTCACGCTCGCCCAGGCACAGGCCCACCTGTCTGCCGGCCCTGTAGGGGACCGAATCACCTGGTACCACGCGGAGCCGGTCCAGTTCCTCGCCGAGAACCCCGGCACGAAGTGGGATTTCGTCGTGCTGGCCCACTGCATCTGGTACTTTGACGGGCCGGACACGCTGGGCGAGATGCTTGCCGCGCTGAGGGGCCGTGCTGCCGGGCTCCTGGTGGCAGAGTATGCGCTCACGGCCAGGGAGAGGGCTGCCGTGCCTCATGTCATGGCTGCCGTTGCGCGCGCGGCGCTCGAGGCGCACAACAAGGCGAGCGAGGCCAACATCCGCTGCCTGTTGGGCCCGCTGAGCATCAAGGACGCGGCTGCTAGGGGCGGCTGGGCTCTGGACAAGGAAGAGGTTCACGTTCCGGGCGTGGCGCTCCTGGATGGGTCGTGGGAAGCCGGGACGGTGAAGAGCAAGTGGTTCCTGGAGGAGATTGACAAGTACATTACGGATGTGACGCTGAAAACTACGCTTCTGTCGGCAAGGGAGGCCGTCGTTGGCGCGGTTGGGCTACTGAATGGTGAAAAGGTTAGAACCATGGACGTCTGGGTCTCTAGATTTGTTTAAGCACGAGCGGTGTATATATCGTTACCAACAACGATGTTAAAAAGCTTGCAACCTTGTCATTCAACTCTCATGCCTTGACCTTTGCGCCTGAATCGTCCTCGTCGTACTCATCCTCGAACGGCTTCAGCCCCATTCTTGCCCAGGTGGATTTGACCATCAACGTGACATCTTTATCCCGAGACTTGAACATCAAGTCGGAATGTCCGTCGCCAATAAATGTTGCGGAACGGTCCTAAACACAAGTCAGCTTCGCTATAAAGTCACGGTTCGTTGGTTTCTGCTCACCAGGCCAAGAGTAAGCTTAATAAACGTGTCAACCCAATGATGCCTGTACACGTGTTTGGGCTGCTTCCCATCAACAACGCTCAAAATATTCTTGGCCACGGTGGCTGCTTGACGCATCGCAGAGCGGGCATTGGGACACGGCGTCTCGGTATCGGCAACTTCTCCACAAGCATAGACATTGGGACACTCGTCATCAGCTATCTGGAGCGTCGGCTTGACCTTGACGTATCCGTTTGTGGAAATCGATTGTGGCGACAAGGAGCTGAGGAGTTCTGAGCACGGCGACTGTCCCGTGCAGTTGAGCTGGTTGTATCAAACGTGGTAAGCACACATGCGCGTTTCGGACATGTACCCGCGAGCAGGGAAATAAGCTTACAAAAAGGTCGCATGGAATTTCTCTCCCCGACCGCAACGTCACCTTCTTGGCCTCGGAATCCTCGTCCACAACCCTATCCTCAAGAACAACCTCGACGCCCAGCCTCGTCAGCCCCTCGAGCGCCTCGTCCTGCAACCTCTTGCCGAAGCGATGCATCACCGCCGCCCTCGAGTGAACGAGAACAATCCTCTTGTCGGGGTACAAATCCTTGGCATCAGCGGCAACCTCAACGCCCGCCGCGCCGCCGCCCACAACCACCACCGTCCGCGCCGCCTCGATGCCCGACTGAATCCCGCGAAGCAGCGCGACGCCGACCCTCTTCTCGGCGGCATTCACCCGGGACGGCAGACCGGTCCTGACCCCCGACCCCGTCGCGACAACAAGGTAATCGTACCTGATGGACTCGCCGCTCTTCTCCAGCCGCACATGGGTCCCGTCGACGCTCGCCGCGCGGTCCTGAACCCACTCCAGCACCCCGGGCAGGCACTCGACGTATTTGCCGTACGGGATAAAGGCCTTGTGCTCGTGGCCCTTGACGACGCAGAACCGCGGCAGCACCCACGTGAACTGGAAATGGCTATTGGGCTCGACGACGACGACCCGGTAGCGGCTCCTGGGCGGCAGCTGGCCGGCCACCAGGCGAGCGACGTGGTGCCCGGCAAAGGAGGCGCCGACAATGACAATGGTGCGGTCGCGCCCGTCGGCCGGCGTGCTCCCGGAGAACTGGGCGCGGCGGCGCACCACGGCCCTGTTGAAGAGGTAGCTGAGCTCTTGGCCGAGCACGACGAGGATGTAGCCGAAGGCGCGGGCGTACAGCCCCAGCTTGGCGAGCATTGCGGCCGGCGGTCCGTGGAACCGAGATGAAGAGAGAGGTATAGTCAGAGGGGGACAAGGAAGTCGAGGTTTGGAGGGAAAATAAAGACACCGGCCGTCGCTCTCTTCATATACATGGCCAGTGCCGCAGGGGTCGTTTTCAGCTCGGATCCACGGGCAGCCGGGGGACTCCATGGCAAGGCCGAGCCTGGATCCGCCCCGATCTCCGTCCGAGGCGTGGCCATGGCCGCGTTGGCGTGCTTGGGGCCGAAATCACCGAGCTTTTTGCTCGACGGTCCCCAATTGTCCGCTGCGAGACCGGGGCTGAGGCTTGGCGACAATGAAGATGTGGGGCTGGCGGGTTATCTGATTGATCTGATAACGCTAATTGCGCCACGGGCCGGAACAGAACTGCCTGAGAATTCTGTCTCGTGAATTGGAGCGATGCAGTGCCTCGGATTTAATATTACGAGTACTCTGTATAAGACCGTGATGCCGGCGAAATGTTGACATGGGGTAGGCAAAGCCGAGAGAGTTAAGCCTATTTGATCCCCTCCGGGGGCCCTGCCGGGGGCCGCCTGCGGCGAGCTGTGGCCTTCGGCCGGCTCTCGGCAATAACACCGGGCTTGACTTGACTACATATATGTCTGGTAATTCACCCCGTTCCCGATGCTACACCTGAATGGAATAGGCCACTTTTTACTCATTAATTACCGGAAAGTATCAAGTTTTTAATTAATTCAATACTTCAAAATAGCCTTGCATATATATCACATTCAAGAGGTAAAGCGAAAGCGGCAGCCAGCTCCGGTTACTGCCAAGTTCCAAGTTCCAACGTGCCGTCAACTCAACGTCAGCCACCACCAATGCATGCCAACTTCCAGCCAAATCACATATACACCTTTTCATATCTCCGGCAACTCCTGGACCTGCCGCTCAGCCCTCGTGGTTGGCACCTCTTGCGCGGGAAACGGGTACCAGACCTGCTGCGCCTGGAACGGAGGCTGCGGCACAATCTGCCGATCCATGTACCCAGGGGAGTAAACTGGCGCCGGCGCCGGCGACGAAGGCGAAGATGCGTACAGACCGGCATTGGAGTTGGAGCCCGTCATGTCGGCGGCCTCTGGTTTCGCAATGCTGCCCGGGTACCCATGGCCCGGGCCACTGCCGAATTCTGCCCCCGGAGCAAACGCCAGCGACGGTTGAGGCTGAGCGGTCGGAATCGGCGGCTTTTGCCTCCAGCGACGCAGTAGGAATGACATGGAGCCGCCTACCAAAGCCAAAGCGGCTGAGCAGTCGGCAAGAGTCAGCATCATCATCTTCTTCTTCCGGCATCTGTCAGGACCTTGACACGTGTGCGCTCTGGAACTCACCGACTCCTCCGACTACGCCTCCGATAATCGCGCCCACGGGCGTGGGATTCGCCGGCGGCAGCACCGTACTTGGCGCCGGCGCCGACGTAGTGCTTGTAGAAGCTGAGGTGGTAGTTGTGCTGGGTGGCCGAGTATTGTAGACCGGTCTTGTTCCGTCTGTCGTGGAGCAGGCGAACCACGTGCACCCGGAACATGGGTCGTCGACAAAGGAGAGGGTCAAGCAGGAAGGCTTGGCCGAGTTTCTGCTATTCCACAAGAATCAGCGACTTGTCCCCCTGCAAGCACGCCGTCTTTCTTACCAGTACACCGTCTCCGCGTCTGTTGGGGAGGGAGAATCGTACGGCACGCATGCCGTGGGAAGGGTGCAATATCGATCGGTACAACAACCCTGGACGCTGCGTCTCGTATTGTAGAGACATGTATAGGGTCCCGAGGCGCAAGTCAGCGCTTAAAAGTCGTCAGCTTGAGAACTGGACAAAGTCTGGTAACTGCCGTATCTGTTCATCATGACCTACGGTCTACACCGGAGACATATCCACAAGTCTTGGGTGCCGCCTGGCGTCCAAAAAGCCCCGAGAACTGTGTCAAAGCCGCTGGAGGCGTTGTCGGGGGAGGACCAAGCTCGTTCGCGGTTTGGCTTGGGGCGTGGGCGCGAGCGTGGGCACAGGCACCGGCGGCAACGATCGAGGCCGCACCAATCTTGTACTGGCCAAGCACCAACATTATAGGAATGCTTGTGGAGGCCTCGTCATGCAGTTGGAACTATCCGAATAAGGCTCACGTCGTATAGATTACGTATTTGGCTATGATATTGTGTGCTGGCCTTGCGTCTTATATCCAAATACCTGGGTCCGTCCCATGTTTCACGATGGGCTGCCCCCGCAGAATGCCAGGCTTACAGTCAGGCTGTGTCCCACGGGACTTCAGCTTTGTTGGCGTTTTGGGCTGGAAATCCCTTGAAAAGCGGACGGTCTAGATTTGACTTTTAAAGTTTATTAATCAAGGTGCGTACCAAGATAGGTTCCGGGGAACAGGGATGGATGGACTCGCTGCTTAAAATAGAGTATAGTATTCGGTTTGTCACGTGTCTGGTAGGCACTGCCTTTCGAAAATGTACCCATATATGTGCAGCCCATGTAACTACTACTACACTCGTGGGTTGTCGTTCTCAAACCGCGTGTGCCATATCTAGCAAGGTGGCTGGTGTGAGGGCATTCAACACGATGATACACCAAAAAGAAGCCTCTCTTTCGTGGGACATGGCCTGCGAGACTAAACACAGAATAGTAAAACGCATTGTATTCGACAGCATTCGATGCAACATATCCCAGTTTCAGTCTCTTTTCAAGTTGCAATATTGTTAGCGAGGCGAATTTCATGCAGCAGCGCAAGAAAAGGAACTCGGTCACAACTGAGCACCCTGCCAATTTTGGGGCATCCTTGCTTAAAATAACAACAAACATGATTGGATGGAGCTGACAGATGGCTGCCCCCGGGCTAATACACACTCGTGGTGGTTTGTGGCTGTAAGCTTTAGCAACCGCACACAACCTTGAACAAGCCATGCGGCTCGTGAGGTGGCATCACAACGTCCGCAGCCTACATGCCTGCTCTGCTGGGGTCTCTGGAGTGGTCCTGCAGTACTCGCCGTTTTGTTCAGAGTAGTTTCTTTCGTCAAATACGACAGTAACTGCGATTAGACTTTAAAATCCAGTCATGGTGGTAGGAAGGAGGAAGCATGATGACAAGCTGGCACACTATACTACCGTGCCAGAGGTGCCGCCACTCAATCCTCCATCGATGATGTGATGAAAGATTCATCAAAAAATTAAAGTAATAACTTATTCGTAAATGTTTCAGGTTCAGGCAGCTGTTCTGGAAAGCAATAACCGCAAATGTGTTGATACTGGCGTATACGCACACATATACAAGTTTGGTAGCGCAGTTTAATACTTATATCGAGGAGCTACATCTGCCTCTCGAACGTCATGTATGAGACACACTGATTCACAAGTGCCCATGAAACAAGACACCACCCGTATTACCCAAAACAGACCCCATCTCCATCCTCCCAACTACATACATACAACACTGGGCTTCAGCACCTCGAACCGACCAAAACAGCCGCCGTGTCATGAGAAGCCACATCAACCGCATACTCGTCCAAACAGCCCAAGTCCTCGCCAGACCACACCTCCGTCACGCGATACCTGCCACCACCCAAACCCGGAATCTCCCCCCACGCCGCCGTCTTCCGCACCGTGACCCCAAGCGTGTTCAGCATCAGCACCAGGTGTCCCCCCGTCGACGGCCCGGCCCAATACTCAGCCGGATGGGTGCTGTTGTACGTCCAGTCGGGATTAACCCCCCACTTATACGGCGCCGCCGGCCCGCCGTGCCCGGCGTCCTGGTGAAACGCCAGCAGGCGCCTGTTCGCGAGCAGGTCGAGGTTGCGGCGGCTCAGGCGGCGCAGGTCCGTCCCGATCAGCAGCGGCGACTTCATGGCCGCCCAGAGGGCAAAGTGCGAGCGCGTCTCGGCGGGCGACAGGTCCCCGTTGCCCACCTCGAGCATGTCGGCGTCGTTGTGGGCGTGGAAGCCGACGGCGCCCATCTTGAACGAGTTCATGTTGAGGATGTGCGTGACGGAGCGCCAGCGGGGGCTGATGTCGCCGCTCATGCGCCAGCTCGTCGCCGTGCCGCGGCCCCAGGAGGTGACGTCGGCGGTGCCCCAGATGCAGAGGTTGTAGAGGATCTCGCGGTCCTGCCTGGCGAGCGCGTCGCGCATGCGGTTGAAGCGCTGCGCCGACTTGGACTTGCTCCAGTCGTAGCCGTCCGGCGCGAGCCTGGGGTTCTGGCTGCGGCTGCAGGTGCCGTTTGGGCCGATCTGGGCCCCGTCTTCCTCGCAGTAGATGTACTCGTCTTGCCATTGCTTGGGGATGTAGCAGTTGTCGCTGTGTGAGTTGCGGTTTAGTCCATGGCGTACGGCAGTGCGTGCTGTCACTGTGAGAGAGGGAGCACTTGAGGACTTACTATTTCAGGTCTTGGAGACGGTTAGCATGTTCATGTCAGATGATGGATTGGAGGGTGTGCTCAGCTTACAATCAACTCCCCATTTGGCAAAGTCGGCGGCATCGACATCTTCGTATCCCAAGCTGGCCGGGTAGCCGGCACACGTCAGGGTGCCAGCCGCTATGTATCACGTCAGTCACTTGGCCTTGGGCTGTAGAGGGAGGAGACCACCGGAAGGCATGGGAGCTGTGTACTGCTGTAAATTCCAAGCTTGAGCTTCATATCGTGAATCTTGTTGGCAAGCCCGTCGATGCCATCTGGGAAACGGGTCTTGTTGACCGCAATATGGCCATTCACACGGCCAGTCCGTTCAGACCAGCAGTCATCAACTACAAGCCAAGTCAGTCGATGCCGGTAACCAAAACCAGGGCCGCAAGGTCCACTGACTGTTTACATAGTTGTAACCGGCATCGCGCAAGCCAGTGTCGACCAGTGCCTGGGCAGCATCAAGGAAATGCTGCTCATTGATATCGCAACGGTACGCGTTCCAAGAGTTCCACCCAAGAGTGGGAAGTTTTCCCTTTCAAGTCCAAGTTAGAGTCAAGGCGCGAAACCAGAAGCAAGAACAGCAAAACCTACCGATGGCTCGTGTGGCACATTTCTCGCCAGGGTGCCCGCGACGTACCCCAGCCACGACAGCTTCTTGGACCAGGAATTCGGCTTCATGGCACGCTGCTCCATACCTGGGACGATGCAAAATGATGGGTATTCGATGTTTGGCAATGCCAGTTGTGTTCTGGGTGTTGGAAATGTTTCAAAAATGACCAAGATGGATAGCGCGGCGCTTCGAGGACGACAAGCAGCCGGGAAAAAGCTAGGCAAATGTGTTGGACAAGTCACCTTCCCAACCAACTAGGTACAAGTTCGTACGACGGATCAAGCGTACGGAGTACGTCACACAAGATTCAACTATTGGTGCGCTCGTCTCGAGCACTGCCAATGCACAGAGTAAGGTGTTGTCTGGCTGTCGGGTAAGACCAAAGGGCTACACAATGGAGGGGAAATCAAAACTCTCCAATTTATAGAATCCTCCTCCGTACGAAGCAGACTCTCAGAATCCTAATGCAGCTGAACGAACGGAGGTTGTCACAAGGCCATGGACTTGCCATCCCCTCGTTGTGTTGCGCGGGGCAATGGGTGTAGAAATGGTCAAGATGAATTACGGCTCGAGGCGCATCGACTAAGCCGCCGCGGGGATATATAATATCGGGCAATGTTCCGGACAATGGAGGTTGTTTTTGATCCACGATGTCACCTCGGGGGCTGCGTCCGTCCCGTCGGCTCCAATACGCCATCGCTTGATATTGCCGGGCCAATCGGGGGCGAGACAAAAATCACGGCTTCCACCACGGTAGCGTGTTGGAGTTTATCCAGACGTGTTTAACATCCGACGGACATGCATGCAGGAGAGGGCGGGAGGAAGTGTGCCGTGTGATGACATTGGCCCGGCATCAATTCGAAAATGTGTCAATTGGTTTCTTGATGAACCCTCGCCGGAGTGAGTACCATGATCCATTTACGACCAATAATCTAGAGACAGCCAAAGGATATCCGCCGCCAATTGTCTCAACAAATCGCCATCATCCATGCGCCACATTACATCAAGACCTCTTGGCGATTCCATGTACAAACTAACCCAAGAAACAAAAAACGAACAAGTACTGACACTTCAAACCTATACATAGAATCATCTGCCCCGGTTGGACCTATCGCTTCAAAGTCTCGTTCCACCACTGCCAAAACTGGTTGTCCCAAGAAGGCATGCACTTCACCTTCTCCGGGGGATCAGGCCGCCAGTCAATCATGTCCCCGGAAGCATCTTGCCTCGACACGGCATCGCCCGTGAAGCCCTTGGCCGCTTTGATCATCCTCCCCTTCTCAACCGAGTACTCCAAGTTGACGGAAGGCACCACAGCAATCTTGCGGTAGCCCCTGAACCACAAATCCTTACAAAAGAGCTGAGGCTCGCCCTGCTCGCATTCGCCCGCCGCCCCGTCTGCGGCCCTGAAGCGCACCGTCTTTTGCAAGATGGGCTGGGCTGTAAACGCAACCGCGCCGTTCCAACAGGAGAAGACCTGGAACGGGCGCCCGTCAAAGAAGCGAGCGCGGGTCTCTTCAGCGTTCCAGAAGAGATTCCACGCCGAGTCCCAGCTTCCGTCCGGCGGGATGTTGAAAAACGAGTCGCCGTGCATGTTGCGCGCGACCCATACGTCGTAGAATGTCGGGTCGCGGCCGACATATGTCCAGTCCATGGCGCACGTCATGTCGGCGCCCGTGGCTCGCTTCTGGTGAAGCAGCTCGAGGATGTCTTCGGGACACGCCGACACGTCGTTGAGAAAGACGACGGTCGCGTCCTCGGCCGTTTTGCCGGCAAGAGCAAAGAGCGGCGCCAGAGCCAGATTCCGCAGCGCGGCGAGGCGGGCTATCCGCTCGCCTTTGCTTGGGTCGATTTCGGACGATGCAAAGTAATACGGGGTGCCCATGCTCTTGAGCGCTGGCCCAAGTGCCGCGAGCACATCGGCAGTGCCGTCGGGGGAGTGTCCCTCGACAATCGACAAGGCGCAGTGCTCGGGCCCAAGGAATCGAATTGCCTCGACTATGCTGCCAATCAGACGAGGCAACAAAGGGAGGGTTTGCCGCAGGTTCAGGGCAAAGAAATATCTAGTGGTGGCGGTTGGGAAGTCGCCGTCCCGTAGCGCATCGTACCGGGTTGTGTTGATGGCAGGGCATTCGAGGGTTGGCAATTCGGAAGACCAAGGGTTCAAAATTGCCTCTAGATACTGTGTGATCGTTGCGGACGGCAACACGGTCCCTGGACAAGACGGAAAATGGCACTGGTTAACGTTGCTTGCGCGGAATGCCGGGGCTCAATCATGTGAAGCCATACGCACCATTAGCAACCTGTCCCAACACTGGCTCCTCTGGAGTTTTGTGTCTCCCGTCATTTGGAAGCAACGGCCAGGCAAATCGGTCTCTCCCAAGGTACAGCGTCGTGGCAACGAAAAACAAGGATATCGAGGCAATCGCCAACAGAACAAGCCGCCTTTTCATGTTGAGCACGTCGTCTACAGCCTGGTGAGGCGTAGCAAAACACCAAGAGCCGCATTGCAAAGCTGGAGGAGAAGGAAAGAGGCCCGAAGCCAACAAATAAAGGGGTCATCCATGCACACCGAGCCATGGTGGCCAAAGTGGCCATGGTCGGTGCTGTTGTTGTTGGTTGATGATCTGTCAATACATAAAACCAATCTGCAACTGGTTTCGCCATTGGCCACGCACCGGCCATTTGAAACGCCGCCATCCCACCTGCGCCATACGTTGAGAGGGAATAGCCGCCGGCCTGACATCTCAAGTGCTAGAACCAACAAACACACGATTCCGACTATTCTTTTACATGTTGCCGCCTGCCAGAGGCATCATGTCTATCTGCGAGGCCCGACGACAAGTCGCCCCGTGCGCCCACCTCGACCATGGACGCTGGCATTTATCACAACTTTCCTCCGCCCTTTGTTGCTTTTCTTGCCGTGCTCTATTCTCCTTCCGATACTTGCTTCTTTTGGACTTGAACCGATACCAGCTAGCTGTATCGCCTTGGTGAAGAACAGAGCTGAGGCTGGCAACGCTACACAACGAGCCATGGCTCCGTACGTACGTCTACTTCTCTCTGCTACCCTTGCCTTCATTCAATTCAACGTGGGAGATGCCTGGAATCGTCACTTTTCGCTTCCCAGACCTACAGCTACCCTGTCACATCGGGCCGCATCAGCCCTCGGGAAGCGACTCGTCCACCAGACTGAAATGTCGACGTGTGGTTACCAAGATGGCGACCCCAAGAAATTTCGCACCGCCGAGTCCGGATTCAACTGCCGCGTCGATACCGTCAATGGCCTATGGGGGTTCTGCCCAACAACAGTGATTGCTGCCACCGACTGTGGCTTGCAGGGGTTTTGCGTAGACAGCCACTCCTGCTCAGGTGGATGCGGGAACGGTGACAATTCCAAGTTGACGACATTTACCTGGTAAGACGGCCCTCTTTGCTACCCGAGATGGATGCTGCGTGTTACTGACAGTGCCTGCCCAAGTGAAACACAGAAGTTCTGCTCGTTTGCAGCCCTGACGTTTGGCGTTGATCAGACGTACACATACTATGCTTGTGGTGGCACTCCCACGACGATCCATTATCTGGCATCGCCAACGGCCCAGGCTACTCCCACCAACACAAACAATGTTTCAAAGACGTCTGGTGGATCTTCAAAACCGACGTCTGTAAACACATCGACGGCAAGTTCGGCACAGCCATCCTCGTGGACAATCGCGTCGCGAACCACGGCGCAGTCTTCCCAGGCAAATGCAAACACAGATTTGGCTGCGGCAACATCGAAAAGCGGCAGCTCACGCGGAGGCGATGGTGACGGCGTCAAGGCGGATTCATCCCCCAACACTATTGGGACCATTATAGGGGGTGTTATCGGAGGAATTGCCGTATTGTGTATTTTTGGCCTTGCAGCCATATATCTTCTGAGAAGAAGCAGATCCAACCGATGTAATCGCAGCCCGTCTCCAAACCTACCAGCCCCCCTGGAAAGCGCCGAGACTCCTGGAGTGAACGGCTACAAGTATAGTAATCGTCGCACTGGGGGCTGGGGACCCAGCGAATTGCCGGGTTCTGAGTATGGGAGGCCGTCTTTGCATCCTGTGGAACTGCCAACCTGATAATCATTAACCATTGATAGAGCGGGTTTGAAAAGAGTCCGGGTGTGCAAGATCAAAACGAGTGAAGACGCATGACAATGCTGGGACCTGGGGGTATTAATATAGGGTTTTTACGACGTATAATAGGACTCACCTGGCATAACATCAGCCATAATGAGCCGAAGAGAGCTGTTATAGTTGCAAGCCCTTGATAGTTGGTTTTTAGAAAATTTGGTCGTTGGTTCTCAGCATTTTCTCGCAAAACTCGCACAAGGGGACCAACTTTGAGCCGATACATGTCCAACCTCATGGAACTCGGCAACATTGGGTGCAACAGTGACCGTCATTGGTTTTGTTCATACGTGCAGTCTGATAGTGCTGTTGTATTAGGCTTTCTGTGGGTTTCATGAGGTGGGTGCTGAACTTGAACCGATTTTCGCCATACTTTACCTATATTAATATTGCATTCTTGCAATTTTCCTCATGTGCTTTGTGACAGCGTTCTATTGGGCCTTGTCATTGGAACAGCCGTATAATGGCCTCATGCTAGCGCTTTGTCGAACAACAACCGTGTCCGAATATAGCTTTCATGATTCCGCCTCGAGATCGGCACCCCTTTCGAGCAGCAGCCTAACCACAGCTTCGTGCCCTCTGTCGGCGGCCCATGATAATGGCGTCTGATTATGTCTGCTGTCCTTTGCCATGATATCAGCGCCCTTCTCGAGCAGCAGCTGTACGATGGTCGTGTTGTCCCTCCGGGCGGCCAGCATCAGGGGCGTCCGGCCGTGCTTATCTTTTATATGGATATCAGCCCTCTCTTTCATGAGCAGCCGGACAATAGCCTCGTGGCCCTTCGCGGCGGCTAGCCATAAAGGGGTCTGGCCGTCTATGTCCTTCGCATTGACATCAGTTCCTTTCTCGAGAAGCAACTGAACAACGGCCTCATGGCCTTCCCCAGCGGCCCACACCAGCCGTGTCCAGCCGTACAGGCTGTCCTTTGTCTCAATATCCGCGTCCTCCTCTAACGGCTCGATAGCCGCAAACTGACGCCACTGTAAGATCGGTCAAGAACTCAGCATGCATCATGTTTGTTGTCGTCCAATAAATTCTAAACCATACAGGGTAGGCCATAGAATTAGGCTTACAGATTCTCCGTGCCGAGAGTATAATAGTAGCTTCATTCATAATTTGGGCTTCACAAAAGTGAGCACCCCAAGTTTCAGCCGCGTAATTAAGGAGAGCGTAGCCACTCTGACGGTGACTAAAGGCTCTGTTTGCGCCTGCTAAAAAACTAATATCGGTGTTGAACAAGTTTAAATAGAGCACGCAGAGCTGCGCGAGAACAGTGTGTGCATCGCGAATAGTGATAGGCTGATGCCATCGTACCCCTGGCGGTATTACTGTAAGCGATGCTACATCTCTAAGGAGAAATTCGCGAGCAGTTTGATGAAGGGAGTAAATCTTGCCATGGTGAATTGAGATGAATAATCCACACCAGGATCTAAGACGCGACTTGAAGTTCTCTTTACCCTCTAAATCAAGGTCGTTAAAAGACCGTGACGTATTATCTACATTTACGGCGATATTTATTTCCGAGAGTGTTAGCGGTCGATTCGCTGCCAAGATCATACATAGCGTCTTCCGAACTATTGGATGCTCCTTTGACTTATTGAGGATTTGTTCATATGCCTCATAAATAGTCCGTGGAAGTACTGTCATCGCGTCGTCGACACCCTTTACTGTTTTCTTAAAGCCCTCTTCTCCTAAGTAGTTAAACACAAGGTATACCCAGAGATAGGTACGGTGGTTAATCTCCTGAGCCTTTTCTGTAGATAAGTCTTGGTATTGTGCGAGAGGCGCTTGATATCTGATAGTTGGTTGATTCGCTGGGTAATGACGCGATTGACCTCCTGACTAATAGCTTCTGACTCCTCATCATGGCAGCAACTGTGAGCCTTGACAATATGACCTTCTGAGTGCGTCCGGCTGTCGCAGTCCCAGAGTGCGCTAGCCAGGTGAAGCAGCAGGAGCAGCTTCTATCCCGGCCAGAAGTTTCCTCCCCTCACGCGAGCAAAGATCAACCTCACACATTGGGTTTCACCGGTCCGACAACGAATGAACCGATATTGATACTGTCCGATACTGAGGGCGGGTTAGATATGGACGATACAGATGGTGGTAATGGCTGTCGAGGCGTGGGCTGGCATTCGGACGATACACTTCTATCGGCCGATGCCCTTATGCCATCTCTTACCACGGCCTCGCCTGACGTTGTTTGCTATATTGGTAGGTTCACGTCATAGTTACATCTCGAACTCCAGGCATGGCTAATAGATGCATAAGACGCATGCGGTTGCGAATCAGATGACCTCGCTAATAACATACGCCGGCTGGGTACACCGACGGACGACCGACTCAATCAAGTCACGACAGAGACAAAACCACCATGCGCTTTACCTCCAAGACGGCCTGTTACAAGATCTATTTCACCGCCCCATTCGCTCGTGAACGAGAAGAGCGAGACGCAAAATCCTACTGCAACCAACACAGACGGCGACCCTAAACTCATAGGTAATAAGTCTGTAGGGCATGCGACGACATACCAGAGGGTTCCCTTACACAACCGCCCTCTCCGAAGGGATCAGAAGAAGAGGACCTCCGGGAGGGCCGCGGCCGAGCTCCCAACGCCGATAAAGAGAGGACTCAAACCCATCAACGGTCGAATCCCAACTTCAATATCAACGCCGACACCCGGCCCCGTTCCAATGGCGACAATCACACGCGTCTTCATAGGTGGTCAAGCCTTGTTTCAACCTCAGTTCAGCTGGAATTCGCGCCTGAATGATCACTCAGTGGCAGACGTTGGTAGCAGAGTCTACACCAAGGAGATCTCGCCGAGCCTCACGGAGGGCTATCGGCCGTGCTTTTACGCTCGAGGAAGACGATCTCCTTATCGGCTTGAAGGAAAGTCAGGACAGCCTTCCTTGGTCAGAAATACGTAAGCGGTTCAGCGGCATCTTTCCTGGACAGCGATCTCAAGGCAGCCCACAGGTTCACTATTGTAAGCTAAGGGGGGGCAATGCACCTCTCCATAGTTATAGAATCAACGCAACATCACGATACCTACCTATGTGCCTTTCAGACCTCTGACAATTTCACCTAACAGCTTTGCTTCCTCCCGGACTCCTGGCTAAGAGCCGTAAAGACCGCTGGTTCGCTCGCGCATTAGCTGTCGCCGGGCCTTGTCCTTTTCTGCAATCAACCGCCGTTAGCAAATAGCCATATCATCGTGTTACAGTCCCAGGAACTATAGCTTACCTCTATCATAAACCAAGAACTCGTGGAGGCCAGCACCTGCTGGTACCATAGGCAGGACAGGCACCTTCTTATCGGTAACAACCTCGAGAAGAGCTGGACCGTCTGTGTTGATGATCCACTCAAGGCTAGCCCGAACGTCCTCTGGCTTGGACACCTTCCTCGTCTGCACACCCATTGCGTCGGCTAACTTGACAAAGTCCGGATTCCGCTGGTGGGTATGTGCATAGCGATCCTCATAGAACAGGTTCTGCCGTTGGGTAACCATGCCTTGCTCCTCGTTATTCAGAACAATAACCTTAACGCCAATGTTAAATTGAGCAGCGGTGGAGAGCTCTGCTAGGGTCATGTTAAAGGACGCATCGCCGTTAATGTCGATCACGAGGGCGTCTGGTCTCGCTACTGCAATTCCAATCGCACTTGGCAGCCCAAAGCCCATGGTGCCTACATCCCAAGGTCAGAATTAGAGTCGTTACAAACTTCAATGACCAAGAAACATGAACAGATTTGGGTTTGGGGTTAGGAAAGGCCGGAGAGAAACGGCCAAGGAAGGTGCTGCAAAAATATCACGTACCTAGTCCACCGCTCGTGACAAACGATCGAGGCTCTCTCCACGTGTACATATGTAGTGCTTTGCTACCCACATTTGCTACTTCAGGTCAGTTGGTGTTCGTAATAGTGTTGGCTGCTCATGAGGAACTCACATGCTGGCCCACTCCAGTCGAGATGATTGTTTTCTTATCAATTTTAGAGGTGAGATCGCTCAGCTCCTCAATTACGGACTGGGGTTTAATGAGACCGTTGCCTCCAGGAGAGTCAGCGTGCTCATAGTTGGATAGAGGCCACTTTGCCTTCCATTCGGATATCTTGTTAAACCATTCGCTTCGTTGCTCCATACTTATAGGTGTAAGCATAGGTATAAGCATCTTAAGGTTAGTGGCAACATCGCCCTCAATAGCCTCAGTTGCTTGAATGACCTTGTTGATGTTCTTAGGCAATATGTCAAAATGAATAATACCGCCTCGCTTCTTAGCTGCTGCAGGTTTAGCATTAGGAGCAAATTTTGAAGCATTGAGGACAACACGGTCATAAAAGCGAGCACCAAGAGCAATAATAAGATCGGCCTCCTGCATAGACATATTGGCATATGCCATGCCATGCATACCCAACATGTGTAATGACTTCTCGTCACGCTCATCAAATGCACCAAGGCCCTGGAGAGTTGTTGTAACAGGAATAGAACACTTATCAGCTAGCTCGCGAAGAAGCTCAGTTCCGCCTTTAGACTGGATGATGCCTTGGCCAGCGTAAATGATAGGCTGCTTAGCTACTTTGATAAGCTCAGCAGCATGAGCAAGGGAGGTATTAAGTTGCTTCTCCATTAGTCGTTTGGCAGCCTGAGAAGCGATGCTTGGAAAAGAGGGTAGGCAAGTTTGTGTTGGTATAGCCTTTCGAAGAATCCCAGCTGTAATATCCTTAGGAAGGTCAATGAGAACAGGGCCAGGACGACCACTGGTAGCAATCTCGAAAGCCTCGTTAATTCGACGCGGGAGCTCAGCAATGCTTGTAACCATGCAATTCCACTTGCACGCACTCCTGCTGATTCCCACAGTATCGCACTCTTGAAACGCGTCCAGTCCGGAGCTAGGATCGCCATGTGGTTGCAGCTCTTGTACAGGCATCGGCGCCGTGAAAGCAAAACAGCTCCCCCCCTAAGCCTCGAGACTACAGGATTACAGGCAAGAGTATATGAAAGAAGGTTCGCTTATTCCATCGTTTCGTTTTCGAATCTGCTTGCGACAATGCAGACTGACAAGCTAAATCCGGCAGTGCATCGGTAGTCATGGCCGGGAGACGTGGCTGATGTCGGGAATCCTTGGTTCATGTATCCTTCAAGGCGCATGGGTTGTTTGAAAGGTTTCCCATGCCATTCACAAATTCCAACATGGTCTGGTTGGGAAGCCCACATGAGAGACAACTTGATGAATCGGTGATCCAAGACGGGTGCCCTTGAGTCGGATTGATCATCAGTAAAAACCCCCGATCCGGGGTCACCCAACCTTGCCAACATCAAAGCATGTGGAGATTCTCCATCGCAATTCAGACTAGTTTCAAGTGGAACTCTTGTTGTCAACTTTGTTGGTCGGTCCGGGAGTCATGGGAGGCTTGTTATATACTGTAGTAGCGCAACTAGCGCTACCCATAAATCCAAGCTTTGCATCCATCCAACTCTGCTACTTTCTCTCATCCGTCTCTTTGCCCGATTTGCCCCTTTTGAATCATCTTGTCAGAGTCACAGCACCGTCTCGTGGTGTTGTTTGATCTCTGGTGGTCGCCGACTGTGTTTGCGATGCCGCGTTGACAACCATGGCGATCCTCCGAGGCCCGGTCGAACCACGGCGGATGGGCTTGATGCTTACCAAGCGACTTGCGCGCACCTTGGTTGTCGTGCTGGCGCTTCTGTTGACCGTTGGGATCATGCTTACTCGCCACATGTATGACCGAGCAGAGAGCGTATTGCCATTCCATCGCCAGCACACGGGGCCCGCCGCCTACTCGTTCAAGTCGGCCAGCCGCTTCTCCCCCGTGACCTTTGACGACCCGGAAGGAATGAGCAGGCACGACCTGTGCGCCTCCTTCCCCAGATATCTTCTCAACCATGTCCAGCCTGTTCTGAAGATTGGCCACAGCGAAAATAAAGAAAGACTCGATGCAAGCTTCAGCTCCGTCTCGTCATGTTTCAACACGGACGACTTGTTGGTCATCTCGGACCTGGACGAGGTGGTTCATGGCCACCAAGCGATTGACGTGCTCGCCGATTTACCTGCGGACTACTACAACCTAGACAACAACCCCAGCTTCCGAAACTACACAGCGCAAAAGGAAATGCGGAATAATGGCACTCTGAATGAGAAGACGCAGACGGCAATCGATGGCTGGATTCTCGACAAGTACAAGTTTCTGCCCATGGTTGAACGGGCCTGGCTAGCCAAACCCGACAAGGCTTTTTACTTTTTCTACGAAGCAGATACGTATATATTCTGGGACAATGTCTTCCGGTTCCTCCAAAGCTTCAACCCCGACACCCCCATCTACATGGGCTCACCATCCCCCGGCCGGCATGACGATGAGCGAGACGTCGAAACCTGGTTCGCTAATGGCGGACCTGGTTTGGTTTTGAGCAGAGGCGCAATCAAGGCGCTATTACATCGCGAGACAGACGCCAATGGCCACTACGTCGACCCTCATGTCACGGAGAAATGGCAAGACCTTGTGGCTGGGGAGTGCTGCGGCGACAGCGTGCTCGGATGGGCTCTCTGGAACGTCACTATTCAGCTGCAAGGGTACTGGCCGATGTTCAATCCCCACCCCCTTCACGGCATTCCGTTCAGCGATTCGTACTGGTGCCAGCCGGTTATGACGCTACACAAGACGACTCCGAAAGACATGATTGACTTGTGGCACTGGGAGTTTGGGCAACGACAACTGCATGTAAGTGAAGTGAAACCCAGCGACCCGTCCTCCTATACAGCTTGCTGAATGGCAACAGCGCCCCATGCTATACTCGGATGTGTGGCGTCTTCGACATCCTGGCGAGCCTAGCACTCTTGAGAATTGGGATAACGGAGACTGGGACAGCTGGCAACCGCCTGCTGAAGCATCTGTCAGTGGCCCCGGGGCCTGCGAGCAATACTGCCGAAGCCAAGATGACTGTCTTCAGTGGAACTGGCGAGGAGGTGATGAGAAGAAATGCATTCTTATGAGGTCAGTGAGGTATGGAGCGGCTCGAAAACCGGAATATTTCTTGGACGATGGAAAGCGAGAGACGTTACCCGAATACGAACTTGATACACAGGCCCAAGGAAAGTGGGTACAGTATCAGAGTGGATGGGTCGAAGACCGCATCAAAAGCTGGAGGAATGAGAGGACCTGTGAGCAGGTGCATTGGGTTGGACCCAGCGTCAGCCGGGTATTTTGAACGCCATTGCAGAGGATGGCGTTGAACGGAGCGGTTACGACATTGAATGACATATATATGCGAATATATTTTTGAGAGGTACGGGGGATTCTTCATACTTTGGCCTCGGCGACTCACTTGGCCGGACGGGGTTCAATTCACTACACGAGCTACGCCATTTTTCCCTTCTATATAGACATTAGAGTACATAGACACACACGGTTTTAAATGATGAAACGCATACATACCACAGCGTGGAGTCAAGCGGACAGCTCTTAGAATTTCGGAGCATTTGAAGGAATTATGCCGTGTCTCACGGTTACAAGGCAATCAATCGCCCGAGAAACACATCCCTTACATAACGGTTCAAATGTTCAATCCCTGTCCCTGCCTGCATTGTAGGGACATGGGATGAATAGGGCAATTCATGCTGAGCGGAGAAGCAGGCAATGTGAAACTGCAATGCCCACCAACAGCCAATTGGGTATCCGTGGCGCCTCCAACATGGCGGCATCCCTACTTTACCCTCAAGGCTCCCTCAAGGCTCGCGCGCTAGTAAACATAGCGAAAGTACGGGTTCTGCTTGTCTGTTAAATCCTGAAAAGCAAGCTTAGCCCGCTCTGTCTCATCCTCCGGGACAGCCATCTTCTTCTTATTTGCCCGAAACAAAACCAGGTACAATGCGGCCGCGGCAAGAATGCAAATCACATAGCTGTCACGCGGTCAGGGACGGGCTGATGGCGGCGCAAAGCAAAGAGAGAGAAAAAAAACCTTACCATATAATCAAGCCCGACCACAGGGCGGGATAATGGTCCTCCTTGGTCTCAGACCAAACCAGCTGCGGGCCGACAATGTTGCCCACGCAATAGGCGACAAAGGTCGTGGCCGCCATGAAGCTCTTCTTGGTGTGGCCAGCGACGTTGGACATTCCAATGGAGATGGTGAGACTAGCAGCGCCGCCGAAGAAGCCGGTGATTGTGTATCCGACGACAGGGGCGGCCGCGTGGTTCGTCCACTCGCTCCTCCAGATGACGGCGCAGCCAGCGATGACGGGGAGGCAGCACGCGACGAGCATGGCGATGCGGGCGTTGGGGAAGCGGGAGCCAAGGCAGCCCGTGGCCACGATGACGACGGCGCAGAGCGCCCCGAGCGGGAACTGCAGCAGGATGGACTGCAGGGCGGTCCATCCAAAGGTCGAGACGATGAGGGGGCCGAAGCCGCTGACGGCGCCGTTGACGGTATACGTCGCGGCCATGATCAAGGCGACGAGCCAGACCTTGGCGTCGGCGGCCGCCTCCCTGACCTGCGACGGCTTGAACCTCGCGCAGCGCACGCCGGTCTGGCCGTGGCGGAGGCGCTCCACGGCCGCGAAGCGCTCCTCGGGCGTGAGGAACCACGCCGACACGGGGGAGCTGGGGATCGCGAAGCACAAGCACCCGAAGAGCACGGTCAGCGCGCCGGCCACCAGGTAGATGTACTGCCACGGGCGCAGGGCGCCGCCGGTGACGTGGGCGAAGGCGTAGTTCAGGCCGCCGCCGACGAGGACGAAGGAGCCGTTGCTGCTGTACCACCAGCTCTGGCGGGCAGACTGCTCCGACTGCGTGTAGTAGCTGGAGACGAGGCACATGAAGCCCGTGGGCACGATGCTCTCGACGAAGCCCAGCGAGAAGCGCTGGACGTAGAGCCCCCGCCACGAGGTCACGGCCGCGGTGAGCATGCATATGGCCCCCCAGAGAATGACAATGACTCCCAGGATCCGGCCCATGTTGAAGCGCTGCAGGGCGTACGTCATGGGGTACAGCCCGGCGAGCATGCCAAAGTAGAAGAGGGACGTGGCCCAGCTGAGCCGCCGCGTGTCGACTGTCGGCGGAGATGTTGCATTGTCCGTGATGAAGAGGTCCAGATCTCGGGTCATGCCGAAAAGAACCGCGGACCCGAGTATGGCCTTGTCGTAATATACGAGCCCGTCTGAAAGGGTTGGTTAGCAACGGTTTCTCGTCCTCTGTCGTCTGCTTGGGAGGGGGTTGCGTTTGTACACACATCCAAGTACCATGGTTGGCATCAGAAACATGTCAATCTTGCGAACGACTCTCGCCTCGACCGCAGGGTCAATGGCATGCTTCTCCTCGCCCACCATGGCTATCGCGTCATCCTTTTCGGAGGATGCCATGGGCGTGGCGGCGATGTCGGCTTCATCTGTGGTGGCCATTCCGAAACTCAATTGGCATGGCCGGTGGTGCGCCAGGAAGCGAAGCGTTTAACAAGACAAAGAAGAAACAAAGACGGTTTTGTCTTATTATAGTTGATATGTGCATTATTTGCTTTGACTCGTGTACTGTGGTGTGCGTGCGGCAGAAATGTTGACATGTTTGTTTTCACAAATGGCATACTTATTACATGATGGTTTCTCAAATTTATTGGACCGGACCGGACCGGATAACCGTCAACTTGTCGAAAGACTACAGAACCCCGCTATTTGCGCTAAATTAGCCCCAAGGCCACATGCATCTGGTTGACAGGGGTCACCGTCAATCTGTCAACTTGACTTGCTGGCGAGAGCTGGTGATTGGTGAGGCGTTGGTTTCCCGAGCTTCGAATGTTGGGATCAAGCGGTGCGCCATCGATGTTCAAATGCCATACCGTTTGTGGCAGAATATATTTGCCGTGTTCATCAAGTACACACGAATGTATTACCGTAATATCATTGGCATCATAGTACTATAG